ATTGGCTATGGCTATCATTTGATACGGCCAAAACGTGGCTCATCAAAATAACGGGGTATTCAAAGTTCGGCCCGGCCGAAATTACTGCTATTTTATTTGTTGTTATTCAAAACTTTGACCCTTTGTGGGAGAGATACCAGAAGAAATGGTCCGATCTCTACCATATTTATAACAGATCTTGTTTTGATGGAAATGTTGAGATGTGCCAAGTCTGAATGGAATAGGATGATAATTTCGCGTTTTATAAGCTCCAGAAGTATTCAAAATTTTCACCCTTTTGTGTAGGAGGTACCTGAAGGAGTGAACCGACATATTCCACTTGAACACCAGATCTTGGGTTTATGAAAATATTGGGGTGTGTGAAATTTGAAGATAATCAGACTCTTTTATAAGAGTTGTAATTATTCAAAATTTTGACCCTTTGTGGGGGAGGTACTTGATGGAGTGGACCGATATTGTCCATTTTAGCACCTGACCTAGCACTGACGCAAATATTAGGATTTGCAAAGTTCGATTAAAATCGGATAATTGCTTCTATTTATGTGCAGAAAATATATTTTTTGAAAATGTCAATCTTTGGTGGGGGGAGGTACCAGAAGGAGTTGGCCGATATATTCCATCTCTAAAATCAATCCAAGTTTGGCAATAATATTACGATGTACCAAGTTCGGGTTAAATCGGATACTCCCTTCGAGAGTTATCGTGCACACCAACCAGCCAGACAGATAGACGGACGGGCGGATATCGCATCGATCGACTCCAAATGTCCTGAAACGGATATGGTCCAAAGAGACCTAGGGTCTAAAACCATTATTACGATGAGGCACGTTTTGGCCGTATCAAATGATATATATGTAGACATATGGCTGAGGGTATAAAAATGTTTTTTATCGATAATTGTCGTTTATTCTGTCATTATCTAATTGGAGAATCCCACAACGGGTAAAGGTGATTAACAATGACAGTTTTCTTTAAAAAAAAAATAATACTTCGCCAGTTTATTAGTTAATACGTCTTGAAATCCGCTTGAGTGTGGGTGTAAAGACAATACCTGACATCCCATCAAATTTACCTTCCCATATATGTCGTGCCTTTAGAGAAATAATGAGCTGCTTTAAGCATTAACGCTTCAATGCCAACAAAAAATGTGGTAAACGACGTAGATTGAAATAAATCAAGTCGTTTTGTTTACAAAATGCAATCACGTGTCTCAGAAGATTAAAGATTTTAAAAAATCTATTTTATATTAATTAATAATAACTCGTTACGGATATAAGTAGGGTATGGCCATGCAATGGACCATCAATTTTCGAATTGCATCATTAATTACCAGCAACACCTAACAAACATTGTGGCTCTCTGAAGTGGCTCACGAGAAATTTTGTGGAGAGGAGAGAGAGAGAGAAATTTGCCACATCAAATGATAATAAATCAAAACAAATATTAGATGCCACTCTAATACAGTTACCAGTGAAAAATAAAAACCCACAACATCTTGGCCTTTTTGACACTTGGCAAGTAATGAATTAATGAATCGAATCATTGATATAATTAAATAATGAATCGTGTTAAAAGGTCGTGATTTCGTTTTTTTTTTTCTATTAACAATTGATTCCGATAGACAGCTAGACAATGGCCTAATGGCCGGGAGAAACGAATACCACGAAAAAAAAACAAATGACAGCAAAAAAGAAAATTGATGACAAATTAATAGACAATGTCGTCAGTGAGCTTTAAATACCAAAATGCGATCATGAATGAAAATGATCTGGGGTGGGTTAACAACATGGGCCATTCCATCACCACCATCACCATCAATTTGATCAAATATGCATGTCCGCTTGATGGCTGGCCAACGTTCAGACATCTTCATTCATAAGTATGAATGTATGTATGTGTGTTTATAGGTTTGTATGGCATTGGCCGTTTAGACAGACAGCCAACACCATTTACTCGACATCTCTTCCTCTTCGTAGAAAGATGTTTGTGCGGCCAAAGTAGTTTGGAAACTTTCTTCGTGATTTGAAGTAGTAAAACACAACAATCAGCAATTGCCAACAACACCAGCAGCAACAACAATAACAACACAGAAAAAACGAGCAAACATTCAACTAAGTGTGATGTTGGAATGACGGCTTGAAGGTTTTGTTGTTGTTCTGAAGTTTTTTTTTTTTCAATTCATTTGAAACCACAAGCCAATAACCACAACATATAACAAGGCCCAAAAACAGTGCCGTTCAGTAGTCAGCTACACAGCCTGGCAAGAGTCTTGCTGGATGGAGGCAGAGATGGGAAATTCAAGATTGTGGTACTATTAAGAGAAGAACTTGCTAATTCCTCCTTAAAATGGGGGTATAATTATACCCTCAGCCATATGGCTAGAGAGGGTATACAGGGTGACATAAAAAAGAACTGCAACAAAATTAAAAGCCATAATTTTTACATTTTTTTTTAAATTTGAATGAATTGAATGAAAGTAAACATTTCGGAAATAGCATCAAATTTTAGAATAACTTAAGATTTGTACGAATTGGTCACCTTTGGCACGAATTATGGCGCTACCCGATACCCGAATGTTGCTCTGCGGTATTTTGGCCCATTCCCGGCGAAGCGCTTGCTTGAGACGATCGACACTTTGGTATTTTTTAGTCCCAACCTTGCTTGCTCTAAAATATTCCAGACACAGAATAGTCCAACGGATTGGTATCCGGAAATTTTGATGGCCATTGTGCGCTGGAAATGAAGCAAGGAACCTCTCCCACAAAGGGTCAAAGTTTTGAATAATCAAAACGATGATAAAATCCGAAATAAGCGTCCGGTTTTCTTCGAACTTCGCACACCCCATTATTTCTACTAACACAAGATCTGCTGTGAAGATGGGATATATCGGTCCACTCCTTCTGGTACCTCCCCCACAAAGAGTCAAAATTCTGAATATCCACGAAGCTCATACAAAAATCGAAATTAACGTCCGATTCCATTCAGACTTGGCACATCCCAAGAGATGGCAGAGATCGGACCATTCCTTCTGGTACCTCCCTCACAAAGGGTCAAAGTTGTGAATATACAAAAAGATTATAATATCCGAAATACGCATGCGTTTCTCTTCATATTTCACACATCCCATTATTTTTATCAACCCAAGATCTGGTGCGAATATAGCATATATCGGTCCACTCCTTCTGGCACCTCCCCCACAAAGGGTCAAAATTTTGAATATGCATGAAGCTCATAAAACATATCCGATTAACATCCGATTCCATTCACACTTGGTACATCTCAATATTTCCACCAACACTAGATATTTTTAAAATATGGTAGAGATCGGATTATTCCTTCTGGTACCTCCCCCACAAAGGGTCAGCATTTTGAATAATCAAAACGATTATAAAACCAGAATTGAGCTTCAGGTTCTCTTGAAATTACACACATCACAATATTTTTATCAACGCAAGATCTGGTGTGAATATGACATATATCGGTCTACTCCTTCTGGTACCTCCCCCACAAAGAGTCAAAAATCTGAATATCCACGAAGCTCATAAAGAGCGAAATTAAAATCCGATTCCATTCAGATTTGGCACATCTCAATATTCCCATCAACACAAGATATGTTAGAAAGATTGTAGAGATCGGACCATTCCCTGTGATACCTCTCCCACAAAGGGTCACATTTTTGAATAAACCAAACGATCATAAAGTCTGAAATAAGCATCCGGTTCTCTTCATATTTCACACATCATATTAATTATACTAACACAAAATATGCTGTGGAGATGGGATATATAGGTCCACTCCTTCTGGTACCTCCCCCACATTCACACTACGAGTATCAGCCCAGCCAGACTAGATAGAATAATAGAATGTATTCGAGAACTTTAGATAAAAGACGCACTCGCTTTAGATCCACAAACCTTCTGCATATAAAAACAAGTAAAAAAGTAGTAAGTTCGACCGGGCCGAACTTTGAATAACCACCATTTTGAAGTTCCCATTACGAACTCTAAATACGAAGTTTGAAATAATTCCGGTATATAATGTCCCTAAAATCTTCAAAATACCAAATATTGGGAGTTACCGTTATATAGAGGCTATACGAAGACGTGGACCTCCATACGCAATTTTTTGTCACAGGATGTAGTACCCATTACGAATTCTAAATATGAAATTTGAAAAGACTCCGATAAATAATGTCTCTAAAATCGTCAAAATATCGAATATCGGGGGGTACCGTTGTATGAAGGCCATACGATATCGTAGACCTTTATAGACATTACTCTTCCAGGGAGTAAAGTGCTTAGAAAGAATTTCTAGGCTGGATTTTTAGACAATCTCATTGAAAAAATTAGCTAAAATAATCAAAATACCGAATATAGGAAGGTACCGTTGCATGGCGGACATACGATATCGTGGACCTGTGTAGACAATACTCTTCCAGGGGGTAAAATGCTCAGAAGAAACTCCTTTTGTGGATTTTCAGACAATTCCATTGAAAAATTTGGCTACTGTCATCAAAACACCGGATAACGGGGGTACCGTTATATGGGGACTATGCGGACCGACTTCGTGGAAGATCTAGATCAAAAACCATATGTCTTCAATAGATGAAATAAGAAATATCATATCAAGAGAGTGGGGGACATTCTGTAAATATTTTATATATTGCAGATATTCTATGGAAATAAAACCTTCTTAAAATGAATTTTTCAATGTCCCATCCCTGGCTAGTACAACCCAGTGCCAGACAATGGCAAAGTAAGTAGTTTACCTCCTAAAGAGTTTCGACTTCTAGTCGGTGGCTAGAAGCCGCTGTTTTCCCCCATTGCAGTGAGCCAATGAACATTTGTATGTGTGTGTGTGTGTCTTTAGAAGTGCTGTTCCTTTTCTTTGGTTGCTGGTATTAAATTAAGGCTTTTCTTGTTGTTGACTTCTCAAATAACAACAGCAACAATTGTTGTTTATTTTTCCCCATCATTTTCCCCTCTATTTTCATTGTCAAGACAACGACAACAAAGTAGTCACTAAGTCAGTTAGTGAGTCAGTGATTTCGTGAGTGGCGAAAGCGTTACAACGCGAAAGTGCAGCAGTGAAAATGTTTGAATCGACAACGACGCCAACAGCATCATCTCCAACGCCAAGAAACAACGACGACAACGACAGCCCAACAACGACAACAATTAATGCTAATAACAATGGTCTAATGGAAAATAGTGTTAACATTACCAGCAAAAGTCAACGATTCTGGCACCAGCAGCCACCATCTCTTCCCGCTCCTTCCCTGCTAATGCTGTTGAGTGTTTGTGCAGTGATTCTGGCACTTGGCCAACAGACGGCTTATGCGGCTGCAGGTAAGTCAAATAGAAAATTTTTATTAAAAAAACAAAAAGAAGTTGGTGTTGAAATGGCAACAACAACAACAGCTTTGAATTTAATTCGGGGTTTGTTTCCTGAGAAAATGCCACTTTCGTGGATTACTTTCTTTGAGGGTGCCCCCACCCCCATAACCACCGCCGTCATCATTATCATTAGCATCATGAGCCATTTGAACTGTTAGAGTATCCCCCCAAACAATTTTGGTGAAATTTTTATTGCACCCTAATATCACCCACATTGCGGCGATCACGATGCCATGAACTAATGGCACCAAAAAAGAGAAATTATGTTTTCAAAAGAAATTAGGTAAATTTAAGTGACAAATGAGCACCCAAAATGACAGATTGTGTTTAGTAAACTTATTACCCGAGCTGCTATTCTCATTATGGGTACCAAGCCCAAAAAAGCGTTTCTTTAGACCAAATATCTCTACAACTTTAAAAATTTTTTCTGATCTATTAATGAGAGCCCACTCTTTGTTTAGGTCTGGGACGGGCCTCCTTTGAAATGGAAACTTTTTGTCACTTTCTGTATATTTTACAAAGAAAGATTTGTGTCAATATTATATATTAACAGTATATAATATTGAAGTTTTGGAAACCTAAAATGTCGGTAGTTGTACGACATAGTACAGGCATTATTGCTCTTTTCTAGAACTGCAAGAATGCAGAAAATTTTACTATGATAACCGATTTTCCCTTTATGATATCGAATAAAATTTGCAAAAATAGTAAATCCTTGCAGGTTCTGGAACATTTTACTAACTTGTATTTTGTTAATAATTTTATCAGCCCAATCATGAATAACAAGTCCGTTTGGAGTTTTTCTCTTCCCCTTTCTCTCTTTTTGTTAATAATTTCATCAGCCCACTCATGAATAACAACTCTGTGCGTAGTTGTTGTTTTTATCTCTCCCCTTCCCATAAACAAACATTTCTCTCATAAAATAATTGCGGGAGAGAAAAGTATATGCGAACGCTCTCAAAACTGTATTTTTCTCCAGAAAAATCTCCCTTGCAAAACTAAAAGGGATTTTGCCATGAAATTAAATTATTTTTAACAAAAATCATACGCGTTACAGTGAATAATTTTATTACTTTTTTTATTAATACATACGATTTGAACTGGGAGTTTGACTAAAAACGGTATAATAATTTATTGATTAAAGTTAAAATTGAGCCCCTTTTTTCTCTAAACTATTTTAGAGGAGAAAAATTGATTTAAACAAGTTAAGGAGAATCAGTCGGTTTTGCCGACAGATGCATACCCTCAGCCAATGTCGATTATTTAAATATTTATTTATGATTATTCAAATTGTTGACCCTTTATGGTAAGGGTTCCGAAGGGATGGGTCATAAATAAATAAATATATAATATATTATTGCGACGTGCTAGGTTTGGACTATATCGACTCCTTCCTCTACTTTGTATGTGGTATGTGATAATTATAACTTCGGCCATATGGATAGAGAGGGCATATGTATATCATTTGATACGGCCAAAATGTGCCTCATCGAAAAAACGGTTTTAGACCCAAGGTCTCTTTGGACCAAATCCGTTTCAGGACATTTGTCGATTGGGCGATGTCCGTCCGAACCTCTGTCTGGCTGGTGCGCACGGTAACCCTCGAAGGTAGTATCGGATGTGGTGCAAACTTGGTACATCCTAATATTATGGTCAAACTTAGATCGAGTTCGGAGATGGGCAATATCGGTCCACTCCTTCTGGTACCTCCCACACAAAATGTCAATATTTTCAAACAAAATAATTTACTGCACAAAAAGAGATTTTGCTCAAACTTTGCAAATTATAATATTTGCATCAGTGCTAGGTCTGGTGCGAAAATCGACAGTATCAAACCACTCCATCAAGTACCTCCCCCACAAAAGCTCAAAATTTTGAATAATTACAACTCTTATAAATAGTGATGTAAGAGTCCGATTTTCTTCAAATTAGACACATCACAATATTTTTATTAACCCTTGATCTGGTGTGAAGATGGAATGTATCGGTCCACTCCTTCTGGTACCTCCCGCACAAAGGGTCAATATTTTGAATATCTATCAAGCTCATAAAACACGAAATTAACATCCGATTTTATTCAGACTTGGCAAATCTCAATATTTTTATTATCGCAAGATCTGTTATAAAGATGGTAGAGATCGGACCATTCCTTTTGGTACCTCCCCCACAAAGGGCCAAAGTTTGGAATAACCAAAACGATCATAAAATCCGAAATAAGCATCCGGTTCTCTTCAAATTACACACATCACAATATTTTTGTTAACCCAAGGTCTGGTATGAAGATAGAATATATCGTTCCACTCCTTCTGGTACCTCCCCCAAAAAGGGTGAAAATTTTGAATATTCACGAAGTTCATAAAACACGAAATTAACATCCGATTCCATTCAGACTTGGCACATCTCCATAAACAGAAGATCTGTTATAAAGATGGTAGAAATCGGACCATTCCTTTTGGTACCTGCCCCACAAAGGGCCAATGTTTGGAATAACCAAAACGATCATAAACTCGGAAATAAGCATCTGGTTCTTTTCGAATTTCGCACATCCCATTGTTTCTACTAACACGAAGTCTGCTGTGAAAATGGGATATACCAGCGAACTCTTTCTGGTACCTCCCCCCATAAAGCGTTCAATATTTTTAAAAACAAAACGCTCAATGAAGAAACAAGATCTGTTGTAGAGATGATATACAGGGTGAGATGAAAAAACTACAACCAACTTCAGACTGCTGTAATTTCTAAGCCACTCGTCCGACAGCTGTTAAAACTATTCCAGTGACAGCTCGTGAGCAAAATTCCATACGGCAAATATCGGGGTAAAGCCATTGAAATTCCAAAAAGTGCAAGAACTTACACTGCAACAGAAAGAAAATAGACTCAAAAGAGCTAAAGAGTTGCTTCGCTTGGCCGAAAGTGGTGAACTGCCCAATTTGGTTATCTCCGATGAGAAAACATTCGTTGTCCAGCAGTTTGTAAACAAACGAAATGATCGGTTGGCCACCAGAACTCAAGCGCCGGCCAAGTTGATGGTGTGGGCCGCCATAACTGCCGATGATCGCTCTCCGCTCGTATTAATCGACCGTGCCATCAGAATAAATGCTGAATATAATCGCGAAAATATTCTGGAGGGTGTATTAATGCCTTGGGCACGCAAACATTTAGGCCGCAGAACTTGGATATTCCAACTGGACTCAGCAGCACTATCGCACTCAGCACGCGCCACTCATGAATTGTTACAAAATGAGGTTCCTCGCTTCCTATCCAGCGCACAATGGCCACCAAAATCTCCGGATACCAATCCGTTAGACTATTGTGTCTGAAGTATTTTGGAAAGCAAGGTTGGCACTAAAAAATACCAAAGTGTCGATCACCTCATGCAAGAGCTTCGACGGGAATGGGCCAAAATACGGCAGAGCAACATTCGGACAGCGTGTGACGGTTTCACGGCCGTTTGAAGGCCATAATTAGTGCCAAAGGTGACCAATTCGAAAAAATCTAACTTTTTTTTTAAAATTTAATGCTGTTTCCGGCATTTTTTGCTTTCATTCAATAAAATTAAAAAAATGTAAAAATTATGACGTTTGACTTTGTTGCAGTTTTTTTTCTCACCCTGTATTTTCACATTTTCCACAAATTTGCAAATATTTTATGGCACGTTGTAATATTTTTATCAGTCTATCTCAGGTCAGATACGAATTGGTAAATATTGGCCAACTACTTCGGAACCTCCGCCATAAAGCCTCAACAGTTTGAATAATCATAACTCAAGACTGGGGTGTACATCTGTCCGCAAAACCGACTGATACTCTTTTACTTGTTATTTTCCCTTAATTACTCCTTGGAGGAATTGTCTCACGAGGGAAATGCTTTCCGTGGGAATAGAATTCCTCCAGGATATTCATGTAGCTAAAGATACGTACGAAATATCCAAATAATTCTAAATACGAAAGGATAGAATTATAATCTGCATTTCAATCAATGGAGAAGTTTTTTAATCGGTAAAAGTACAATTTTATATATTTGTTAAATTCCATGAACGGGTACATGCGAGTTTTTCATAAAATAGTTGACCCAAAAAAAATTAAACCCTCTCCCGTTTAAATTTATTTAAACCATAAAAATTCCAGAAAAAAAAAAAACATTCATGTCAAAACAATTACATTCGACATATGGATATTTTCCCAAGATTTATCTGTGCAATAAATTTATTACAGCTCACAATGATAAGCTTACGCAAAAAATAGTAAATTGTACGTTTGGACACGCATACATATTTAATTTTTTTACAACAATAATTTATGGTTGCAGACGTCGTAAAATCAAAATCTTTCACCGGTTTATATTTGAATTTGCGTTTGGACTGGACAACAAATTGAAAGTTGTTATAGGCAGGCAGGCTGGCTGCCATCTGTTGGATGATGACCTCCTCCATTGTGCCAAGAAGAAAAAAAACAAAAACCCGAGATAGAGAGAGCGAAATTTGTTACCATCAAAGATCCACCAAAGTGACGGTGTCTTGTCTCAATCTATGGTTGGATGTCACACAGCCAGTGACATTGAAATGAAATTTCGACCACAACATTTTCACTTTATTTTGGCCGGCTCAGGCTTTAAAATGGTGGTTAGAAAACTTGGCAAAAAAAATCATAAAAAAATAAAACTTTCATTTAATAATTTTTTTTATGAATTTGTTTACCGCATGTTTGCCAAGTGAGGTGAAGAGCAGTGGAGGGAAGAGTTTTGTTTTCCAAACACCCGTTTTTTAATGCAGCCATCATGTTGGTAGTACACAATTATGATTATGACCATCATCAAGATAATATATTTGTTTAAGGCACATAAATCCAGCAAGGCATGGACGTACATTTGTTCATACCCAAGTTTGTAGGAAAGGGCAAACCGCTTTACCATTTTCTGCCGCTGCCTTTGCAGCTGATGTTGTTGCTGTTGTG